TTGAGTGCAACCATAATGCTGATGTGGCCCGTGATGACATTTTGTTTGACACCCTTGGATTAGAGGAAAGAATCATTGAATTAAATTGTTCAAGGTTTATGGCTGAAAAGCATTCTAATTTACTATCTAGTGTAATATTAGAACTTACATTTCCGGGAGCTGTTGATAACAGCCTGATGCCTGGTCAAAGGCAAGAGGTCATTAATTTTGTTTCTAAGAGTCACAATTTTATCATTAAAAAAGCACATAAAATCATTACTACTGAGTGCTATGGGAATAGAAGGCTCAATCGAGCTATGGCTCTCTGTCAGCCTGGCTACAGTGCTGAAAAGAAATCTTGCATTATTCTTATTCTCATCTATTAATGAAGAGTAGTAGGCTGCTCTCGCTTTAGATAGTTAACTTAGTCTAAGTTATCTTAGTGGGTCTCAAACGGTTTGGTCACCATTTATGTAAACACATATTTCCATTTGAGGGGGGAGTGATTAGTCAAATACGCATTAATAATACAAATAAAATGTTAACTAGGTGAAAAAAGGTAAGATAAACTTTTAAAACTTGTTGAGAGCTAAAACTAACCTTTGCTGCTGCCTCAAAGAGGAGCAGGGTGGAGAGGAGGGAGACAGGAGAGGCTGATTCAGGAGCCCGGACACACTCACACATATAAATGAACCAAAAACAAATAAATATACAAGTTTAAATGTTTTTTCATATTGGACATGGTATGTTATTGGTTATGGCCATGTTCTTATGATTTTATGATTATTTAAATGTATACAGTTCTGTTTCATATGGGTGTAGTCTCTTTATTTCCCCCTCAAAGTGCACCAGATTGATGCATTTAAGTCCAACATTTAAAAAAAAATCTTACCGGGGGAGCATGCCCCCGGACCCCGCTAGAGGATAAAATATGTTCACATGAATAGGTTCCTAAATAGATTTGCAAATTTTTTTAAATAGTAGGCCTAATCCATATGTTTATTTTTGGGTAGTAGATTTAAACTAGATGGCTATCACTATGGGCAGCAACGCTGTAAATATTGACAAATAAATCCAGCAAAATGGCACAAAAAACTGGTAGTTGCCTGGCTGGGTGTATAATTCCCGGCCTGAGTTATTGTCCCAGTCCGGCCCTGCCGAACTAAACAACCGGACTCTGGTCCACTAAAATAGGTGGTCACGGAGCGCTTGCTTGCAAATTCTGGAGCGGTTAATTGCTGGTGTGAACGCAGTCCACACCAAAACATAGGAAGCGTAGTATCTACGTGTCACAAGAACGCGGATATCTTCAAAAATCTTTAGCGAAAGAGTCTTTCAAGACATCCGCGGTTGTTTAGTTAAAGAGTGAAGCAGAAGGATGTGTTGAACAGTGTCGTATAAAGTAAAAATTCTCCGTCAGCTACATGAAAGTAAGAACACCTGTCGTCGGTGAAACGCCCCTCCTTACTGCAGAACCTCTCCCATTATGTGTTATAATGTTTTTTAACGGACGTTGTCTGATTATGCGCGGGCCGCTAGTATCTGTTGATCTCCAGATTAACAGCAGCATGAGAATAACCTGCCGTGGCGGAGGCTCCGGTAGAAATGGCCGGGATTTGCGGTTTTACCCCCTTAATGTCTGACCAATGGTTGAACAGCATTTCCGTGCACATGACTTGTGTTTAAAGTTTATAGTCCGTTTGAGTTTTGCCCATGTGAACGCAAACCGAACCTTCTGAAAAATGAAACAATGTAACAAACTGTCGTCTGGTGCGCACCAGAAAACGGACTATTAGGTGTGAATGCACCCTTAAGTACCAAAGTTCATAAAAATTCAGAGAACTCTGATAAGAATTCTGAATAAGGACCTGGTGCACAGTACACTGTAACAAATAAGATTGGCTGCAATGTTTTCCAGGTCAGATGTAAGACAAGGCTTTCAAAGGAGGTATAATTTAATTTTGGTTTAGTATTGATAAATAAACTTGAGTGAAAGATTGCTGCAACTCCACCTCCTCGGACTGTGCCTCGGGCAATATGAGTATTGATATGGCTGGGTGGAGTGGCCTCATTTATGCTGACATATTATTCATGTCTTAACCAAGTTTCAGTGAGACAGCATATATCAATATTATAATCTGATATTAAATCATTTACCAACATTGCTTTAGATGCTAGAGATCTTATGTTTAAGAGACCACAATTAATCTTCCTGTTTTGTTGCACTGTAGTAGTTGTTTACTTTTATTAAGTTATTAATAAAGGGCAGACACACACACCGTTAATATTGGGTATTTTATTGGGTTCGGGATTCCTATGGATGCCTAGGAGAGAGCGCAGAGAAGCGTGTAAGACTGCGACTCCGCCTCCTGGTCTCAACTCCAGTTTGTCATGGATTAAGTCCACAAAGCCCTGAAATGTTTGCCGAAATGAGATTTGCACCTTCCAAAGTAGGATGAATGCCGTCTCTCTTAATCAGACCAGGTTTTCCCCAGAAGGCTGTCCAATTATTTACGAAGCCCACATCGTTTGCTGGGCACCTAGACAACCAGCGCTGAAATGATGACATGCGGCTATACATGTCGTCATTGATCAGATTGGGGAGGGGACCAGAGAAAATTACGGTGTCTGACATTGTTTTAGCATAACTACACACCGACGCCACATTAACTTTGGTGCATTCTGATTGGCGTAAACGAACATCATTACCACCGACGTGAATAACAAACTGTATTTACGTTTATCCTTAGCCAGCGGTTTGAGATGTGCCTCAACGTCGCCCGCTCTGGCCCCCGGAATGCATGTGACTGTGGAGGCTTCGGTCTCTAAATTCACATGTCTCATAATAGAGCTACCAATAACCAGAGTTGGCTTCTCAGCGGGTGCCTCGTTGAGTGGGGAAAATCTGTTAGATACGTGAACGGGTTGGTGGGGACCTGCGGGTTTCGCGTTATGCCTCTTCTGAACAGTCACCCAGTCTCCCTGCTGCTCGGGAGTTGCCGGGGGACGGCTAATAGGAGCTACCTTTTGCCGGTCCGCACCGACTAACATGGGCTTTACTGTAGCTAAGTTACTTTCTAAAATGCGGAGCCGGGCTTCAATGCCTATGATTCCCGCCTTCAACCTAGCAACTATACTACATTTAATACATGTATCGGTACCAGTAAAGGAGGTAGGGAAGTAACCAAACATGAGACAGGTAGAGCAGGAAATAGCACCCGAGGGTGGGGAAAGAGCCATGGCTAGCTATCAAGCTAAAGTAGCTACCGTTTAGCAAACCCGAAAGGAGTGTAAGCTACTGTGGAGTTACAGTCGCTAAGAGAAGGAGAGTTGTGAGTGCTTAAAGAGCCTGTGACACGAGTTTCCCCCATCATTCAAACCCATCAATTTGAGTAAATATTGTCCCCTTGAAACCGTTACTGAACTGATTTTGGATATTTGTACTTTGATAACCATTAATCTGCCCTTCAATGTTGACCATTTTCTGGATCTTCTCGGGGATTCTTCAAGTCCCGCCAAATTATGTGTGACTTCATTGCGGGCACAGCGCTCCAGCTGAACCGTTCAGGATCCCAGCATCTGCATGTAAACGCACGATGGCGCACACAGCAGCAAGCTCAGACAGCGATGACAGTTTAATTTTGAACGTGTCTGAGAGCTCATATGAGGCTGAAGGATCAGTTTATGTTGTATCTGTTAGAAGTTTAGGAATTAGGTGCGTCAATATGGGCGATCATACGGTCATGTAGCCAGTGGTGGACTGGGACTAAAAATCAGCCCGGAACTCTCGACCGGCCCACTTCGGTACCGCTAGTAAATTGTCAACGGGGGGAGTGGGGGATGTGCTAGTGACTTATCCGACCGGCCCACTTCGGTACCGGCCATCGAGAGTCCCGATGGCCAGTCCGCCACTGTACCCAGCCCAGCCCACGTAAACTGTCAACTGGGGGGGAGCCTCGCTGCGGGGAAACTGTGTGGTGTCCCGATCGGAGTGGGAATAATAATAATAATAATAATCCGTGCATTTTATCCATTAATTTCCCCAACATTGTGGTAAAAAAACCACACGTTTAATCCATGTTGGTGTACTACAACTACAAAAATCATCGGTTTGTTTTCTCATCAGGAAATGCAGACCGGCTCAAACAAACGATTTGTAATCATCATCCTCAGGATCATTTAATGTATCATATGTTCGCCAAATTGACATGAAAGCACTAATAAATGTAGTTTCATCCACTTGAGTTTACAACTACAAAAATAATCGATTTGTTTTTATATCACATCCGACGGGAGGAAATTCAGCAGCTCTCACTACTGATTTTAAATCCTAATTTAATCATCATCTTCACCACGATCATTTATGTTTATGTTCGCCGAATTGACATGAAATCACTGACAAATATGAATATACTGCAGTCAACTTCATTACAACGTTATTAACGTGCCTAAACTCAGTAATTCACCATTTATACGCATGACAACACACTTTGTCCGTGTTTGGCTCTCTCGCCGCACAGTGAAGCGTTCCCGCATTGACGTCACTTCCGGCTTCCCCCAAAACTTCAAAATGAGTCGAAGGAATTTCCCCGCGATGTTCGAAATTATTGATATTTAACGGTACGGTATCGCACCTTCTTTTTTAAACTGACGGTTTGAGATGACTAGTAGCCCAATATTTCATTGCACAACAGTTGTTGGGAGGCTGTCACAGGCTCTTTAAGCTGTAGTAACGTGTGATTACAACGTCAGGTAGCTACCGTGATCAAGAATTTTAAAACAATCAATTTAAGATAATATAAGCTATCAGCAGCAGAACAGGCACACAGGATACCCGGAGATGACAACAACAACCGGAAGTGACAACATGCTTACCGCAATAGTGAGGGTCCGTGTACAAACCTGCTCTCATTGAACACACTCTCAGTAAACTCTACACCTACAAGGTAATAACATGTAGTGTACTGTATATCTGTGATTGTGTTGATTCACTGTGATTGTCCTGTACAACTGTGTTTCAGTGAGACAGATGACAGCAGCAGTATACCGATGGCTGACAGGGCAGAGGTCAGCTCTGGACCAAGGAAACACTCCATCCACCTCACCCTGCCAGACTTCCAGGACGCCTCCTCCGGTGTGCTCTCTCTCTGATTAAAGTCATGTCACTTGAAATTGCAGCATATTGAATTGATTATTTTAAATGAAAAACCTCCTCCTTTTCTTCTGGTGTAAATACCAGTTATAAAGGTGAATTGTAGGTCAGTCCGAATTCCCTGGCATTTGACCTATTCTGGATTGACACTATGTTTGCCGGACACATTAAATATCAATGATCTGATTCACCTCCCCACCAGTGATCATACCAGGGCCAGGGGTTAGTTGTATTGCCATTTAGTGACAGGAAATCTATTAAAATTATATAAACAGAGAATGTTTGATTTTCAACCGTTGGCATATTTTAATCCCTCCACCTTGCCATACAGGTTTGCTGAGTCCTACGTCAGTGGCAGTGTCCCGTCTGGAAGCAGCGCTATCTGAGGTGTCGGACATCAGCTCCACCCGTCGCCAAGGACCCACCTACATCTGGACCATCCTGGAACGCATTTGGCTTCAAGCTGGTATGGCATCAAACACAACTTTTTTTTCTTAACACGGAATTGGAATCACGGTGAAAATTGTATTTTGTGATTCGGTACTTTACTCAAACTCAAAGGGATAGACCAAGTCATTCAAATGTATCGTAAGAAGGATTTCAAAGTCTCAACCAAATTTCATGGAAATAATACAATACAATACAATACAGCTTTATTTATATAGCACTTTAAACCTCCAGACCAAAGTGCTCTACAGGCAAATAAACAAAACAAAACATACAAAAAAGAACACAGCACAGCTCACACACCATAAAACAAGTACAAGTAAAAACAATAGACAATTTAAAAGCAATAAAAGCAATGCTCTAAAATATGTTAATACGCTAAGGAGAAGAGGTGGGTTTTAAGAAGCGATTTAAAAGCAGGCAGTGTGGCGGCCTGTCTGATGTGCATGGGCAGATCGTTCCACAGTGTGGGAACTGCTACAGAGAAGCAACGGCCCCCTCTGAGCTTTGACTTGGTTCTGGGCACATTCAGGAGCAGTTGATCCGCTGACCTAAGAGGGCGGTTGGGCGTGTAAGCAGGGGCGGACTTGGGGGAAAAAGTGGCCCGGGATTAATTGACAGACAGGCCCACTTAATGCGCGGCATGTATCGGCCGGCCGACGAAGAAAGTATGTTACTTAACAAAAAATCCTATGCATTTAATGTTAATTTGGACCATTATTCATATAGTAATAACATTACCTGAGCCCTTGAGTTGCCTAAGCAAAATAGTTACAGCATATATTTAGTGATTTTAATGTTAACAGATCATTGATGCAATAACATTTGGACCCAATTTGCCTGACTTGACGCATGGAATAAAACATAGTCGTAGGAAGCATCCTCAATGTGGATGAGACAATTTAACAGGGGGTGTGGGCAGGTGGTGGACCTCACCTCCTCTAGGGGGGTCCGGGGGCAAGCTCCCCCGGGAAGAGATTTTTTTAAATGTTGAAGTTAAATGCATCAATCTGGTGCACTTTGAGAGCAAAATTAGGGACTAAATCTATGGCAGTCAGTAGGGGCTTGGACTGTGAGCCGTAGGGTCGCCGGTTCAAGTCCCCGACCAGACCTACATTTGGAGTGTGGACTTCTACTTGGAGGGGTCCCAGTTCACCTCCTGCCCTGCCGTGGTGCCCTTGAGCAAGGCACCGGACATCCCCCTTCCCCCCTCACTCCCATTGCTCCGCGGGCACTGTACAATAGCTGCCCACTGCTCCTAGTACTAGGATGGGTTAAAAGCAGAGAACACATTTCACTGTGTGTGCTGTGTGCTCTGCATGTGTGACCATTAAAGAGGGTTTCATCCCTCCCAATTCTTCTTCTTTTACATTACATTACATTACATTGCATTTAGCTGACGCTTTTATCCAAAGCGACTTACAATAAGTACATTCGACCAGGAAGACACAACCTTGAAGAAAACAGAATCATATAAGTATATCAGGTTTCATAGAGCCAAACATTTCAAGTGCTACTCAACTGGCTTTAGGTAATCCAGTCCGTTATTAGTATAAAAGTGCTTCGTTAATAGTTCTAACGCTCGAAGTGGAGTCGAAAGAGATGAGTTTTCAGTTTGCGCCGGAAGATGTGCAAGCTATCTGCCGTCCTGATGTCAATGGGGAGCTCATTCCACCATCTTGGAGCCAGGACAGCAAACCCACGTGTTTTCGCCGATGGGAACTTGGGTCCCCCTCGCAGCGAGGGCGCAACGAGTCGTTTGGCTGATGCAGAGCGTAGTGCACGCGCTGGGGTGTACGGTTTAACCATGTCCTGGATGTAGGAAGGGCCAGATCCATTCGCAGCACGGTAAGCAAGTACCAGTGTCTTGAAGTGGATTCTAGCAGTTACCGGAAGCCAGTGAAGGGAGCGGAGGAGCTTCTTCTTCTTCAACACCCATATAAAAACAGAACTGTAAACAGATTTACTTTTTCTTTCAACATGTATTTGAACAGCAAGTGGAGGCAAAAGTGACTGCACCCAAAACAATAAACCTGCTAGCTAACTAGCCTAAACTCAGTAACAGAATGTGGGCAACACGTTCTTCTCCACAGCCGCGCGACCTCTGAGTCAGACGTCACTTCCCCCTTTTCTATCCTACGGGTACAGCCGTACAGCCACTCCCCCTGAACCCCGTTTCCCTAAACCCCCTGGGAAACTCTCGGTATTCCCAATGGCCAGTCCACCCCTGCGTGTAAGGGTGTAGCAGCTCAGAAATATATGGTGGGGTCATGCCATTTAGGGATTTAAAAGTAAACAAAAGGATTTTGAAATGAATCCTAAAATGTATTGGCAGCCAATGGAGCGAAGCCAAAATGGGGGAAATGTACCTCGTGGATCAATTCTTTGACCCCTTATGGTTAAGCTTATTGTATTGAGATGGAAACCTGGACCCTCCATGTTAAGAATAACTTCACTAAACAAATCCAGATAAGAAAGGCACCTGGAGAGCTAAAAACTATGTCAAGGCTAATTGTGCATCCACATGCTCCCATTTCCCGAGTTGGGAAGTTTTTCTTTGGAATTTGATGTGTTTATGAAATTGAAGTTGTAGTAGATGCTATCAAGAAGTTGTGGTTGACTTTATTGCTTAGAGCGTTTAAACAACGCATTTATTTCTCTTTTCGAGTTGTTGTCCCCATTTCCCATATTTAAACTACAATTTCAGATTATTATGACATCACCTGAATGCAGCCGGAATTCCCAATCTCGCAACCTAAACAAAAATGAAAAATAATTTGTGTATCCTCTTCGTTATTTGGATCCTCTTGTTTTACGGGTTATTCCAAGGACCATGCTACACCCTTCCATCAATTGTTTATGAACATCGGTATATTTCCAATAATCAGGCTGAAAGACTAAGTGAGACAAAAGCATAGCCGCCTTAGCGAAGGTAACTGAAAGGTCTGTGTATGTTTTGTCAGTTTGATTTTTTGTTTAAACCAAAAGCCAAAAAACTAAAATACCAGCCTTTCTCGTTTTTGATTTAAAACGAAAAAATGGAAAACCAAAGCCGTTTTCCCGATTGTGTTGTCTGAATCAAAAGACGGATAACAAGAAGACCTAATTTAAAAAACGGTCCGATTTTGGTTTTTGATAACAACTTCATTCAATTTTACGTTTTGTATTGAAGAATAAAGAAAAGCAGTCCGGTGGACCGGAAGTTAAAGAACATATTTCAATATAAAAGACTCAAGGATATTATGGCAATGCTGTAAAAGTTCAATCCTGGAACCCAGAAGTCTGACGAGGATAATTTTATTTCTGCATTCACATGCAAATATGCGTTTATAGATAATAATACAATGCAAGCTCTGTGCATAACTTTATTTTACTGTGTGTCTGTAAATCCAGTGTCCAGCTTGCCGCTTTGTGACAACCATAGACTGGTGACAACGTCATGTTTGTTGCATACTTGCATGATTACAACCTGGTACTAAGCACACAGGCATCTTGTTAAAGTTATCTTATCTTAGCTATCTCTTATATTTAGTGGAGGAAAACATCGATGACATCAGTTATGACATCACTTACGCGACTCTGGGATTTGTAGTCTTTCTAGTTGCGTATTTTTCATAGTCTTATATTTCAACAGTTTTACGACAAACTGTGATTTTTTTTGACATGGAAATGATTTTTTAAGATTGACAAACATCATATGTGTAATTCATGGCACAATTCAAACGGGATCGAAAGATACGTTTTCTCTCCCCATTGACTTCAATACATAATTCTTCCGAAATAAGGTCCCATGGAGGTCCCCAGAAGGGGAGGGACTTTGCCTCTCTATAGAGTGCCACAGTGACGCATTATAAATCAATCGATCATAAATCTATCGATTAGATTTATGATTCGAAAATTATAAAAGTAGGGTAGACATGTGGATATTATCCGGGTGAACAAAACGTAATCTGTCTCTTCAATTTGTGTCAACCACAGACCTTATTTCGAGCTATTTTCCAAAATCCTATGGAGAAATGGCATTGGTTTTTATCGAAGGAACCGGAAGTGGTAAAATGCTAACTTTCTTCCGGGTTTTAGGACGCGTCACTGTGGCACTCTATACAAAACGGAAAATTGAATGAAGTTAACCAAAATCGGACAGTTTTTTTTAATTAGGTCTTCTTGTTATCCGTTTTTTGATTCAGACAACAAAAACAGGAAAACGGCTTTGGTTTTCCGTTTTTTGGCTTTTGGTTTAAACGAAAAGTCAAACTGACAAAAATTACACGGACCCTGAAATCAAAGCATGACTATCTGATTGCAATTTATGAATGAAAATCTTCTCCACACACACAGTATGCTGTGAGTGTGCTATGCAGATGCTGCTGAGAAAGCTGTGCAGCCTGACTGTCTTATGCAGCTTACTGACCTGCTTACAAGCCCCGTCTCTCTGGGGAGTGAGATAGTGTTTATTCACTTGGTATTCACTTTTTGAATATGCTTTACTTCACGTTTCAGTAATGCAATCACAGAATTATCACTGGGTCACCAATATGCGAAAGGCTGGAAAACCCTGTGTGATAACATCATAGATGTACTGTAGATATACAGACAACATAATTTCCGTTTGAGATGATATATTTAATCTTGTTATTGTGTGAAACGACATCATTTAATGCAGGGGTACTCAAATACAAATCTTAAAGGTCCAAAATAAATGTTTCAATAAGACAAAGGTCCGTTTATTACGGTCATTCAAACTTTTAAACAATTGCAACAAGATTCTTAACACGAGGTTGCAAAAACAAAAATAATCTGTATATGCAGCCGTTTTCATTGTTATTGTGTCTGTGCTTGACCCCTCAGAGTCGCAGTGTAAGAGCTGCACAGTTATGAATAAAGGCAGCTGCACCCCTCTTTCATTCAGCATTCCCATTATTGCTTTATAAATGTATTCCCCCTTGTGCGTCCACTGAGGTTCGTCAGGCCCAACACATCTTCAACAAACTCCCCCTTTGCCTCATCATAACAACTCACAAACACCAGCAACTGAGCATTGTCAGTGGTGTCAGTGGACTCACCCACAGCTAAGGAAATGCACTGTGCATTTTTTATTCTATCACAAAGCCGATTAATCAAATCACCAGCCAGTATTTATGTTCTTCTGGTTGCTGTGGAATCTGAGAGGGGGATTTGCTTGATTTGGCCTGTTATTTCCTCTTTTTGTTTGCCTTCAACATGGTCTCCATCACTTCAGTCATACATTCTTTTATACTGCAGTTATTATCCAGTGGAAAGTCCTTACCTACTGGCCTAGTACAATCAAAGTGGTTACTTTTTTTTGGCTGGGCAGTGTAGTTTTACACACCGTCTGATTTGACTTTCTCAGGACTTAAAACAGTTTTTTGGGGGCAGACCCCCTCAAAGAAAAAAATATATTTACACACGTAAGGTCATCATCTTAATAGTTGTGTATGCTCATCCGTGAGCAGAGCATCAAGTTGGCATGTCTATTACAGCTGAATGCGGCGATTACCATTTTGTTCAGAAAAACGCCTCACAAACGATTTAAGATCAACAGCTTTAGTGCGTTTTGATTCAATGCTGAGTACAGCCAAACTGACAGTCTCTTCTCTGTCAGTGTAGACCGCAAATACCTCATTCCTTCAGCGTTTGGGTCCGAATGCTTCTCGTTTTGCGCCGTCCAGTTCAAAATGAAATCGCCGCCAATCATATGTCCACGCTCGCGCCAGGACCGGGGGAGGGGTTACATGACGTGCATCTTGTGCTGCATTCACTTGCACTCGGACATTAGAGATTTTCTCTCATAAATGTCCGATGAGCCACAACTTTTCTTTCAAAACAAAGCTGCCAACTGGGGTGGCAGCTGGGGTGGCAAGGCCTATTTTTAGGGTGTCAGTTGCCACCCCGGTAGGTGAAACTAGGCTACTAGCTACAGTACAGATGGAACTAGATGAGCTGTTAACTCTCGCTCTGAATTTTTTTTTTTTTATTCTCGCTCTGACTTAGACAGGTTGAAAGAGACACACACATTTTTCCCACCCGCAGTCCGCGAAGACCCGCCCTACTGTGCCTCTGATTCGCAGATTGTTTGGGGGGGAAAAACGCTGACTGGATGCTGAATGTGATTGGACCAAAGCGTTGACACACACAGGTGGAACACAGTGGAACAGTCAGACATGCAGAGCGCTGTTTGCAGTGGACATAGCGGAGAATTTTGACTCGTTGCGAATGCGTTGTGGCGATGTCTCACATATAATACAGAGAGATAATACATATGAAAAGTATAATTTGCTCAGAGTCCGGAGACAGTGGTGGTTCGGTCCGGATCCGGACCGGAGTCCGTAGTTTGAGGATGCCTGATTTAATGTGATTACTGCAGCCATTTTCTGCCTTCACAAACAACAAGGGCATCTCAGTGGGTAGAACCATGCATACCTTATGTAGGAGTGCGCTGTACCTGCATACATGTGGCCACTGTTCTATTAAGGGCAGAATGGCAGTGATGCCTACTGCTATTACTTCCAGCCCTTCAGCCTCAGTCTGCCTGTGGAAGTTTACAGAAGAGTGGAGCATTAATGCAGGAAATTAAGAGAGGAGTACAGAGACGCTCCGCACAAACAACACTCCTCCCATCCACCCGGGCAGGAGTGTATGAGGCATGAGAACCAAAATGGAAACCCATACAGCAGGCTAGTGAAGCCAGTGATGCAACCAGCATACCAGAGTGTGTTACAGTACGGGATAAGATGGGTTGAGGGGTCATCCCCTGTGGCCGACTGTAATTCAAAGGTTATTTTCAATGTCCAACCTTTGATCTCTGCTTTTCCTTTCTGAGTCCAGACAAAATAAAAACTGCTCGCTGCTGATTCAAAATAAATAGTGTGTGTACGTGTGAGAGCAGGGGTGTGTCTTTAAGCTCAAGGCTGAGTCAGTGGTAACCCCCAGACCTCCCTCCCTCTGTGCGCACATTCCTCTTCTCATCGGTCATTTCCTCTCCCAATCTCACATCCTCTTCGGCCACTTAGGAAAAAACACACACAGAATGTTTTTAAGAATGGATATACTTAGCTCCATATAACCTTCCAAACACACCTACAAATGGACATTATACATTCATGCAGTGATCTGATTTTTTTCCCCTGGGAGCTCAGGTGAGGAGAAGAAAAATTGCCTTACATAACCGGAGAGCATTCACTGAATCATTTTCTCCCTGAAGTGAAGCTATGACAAGTAAACCGGAGGCTGGGAAATGGCTGTTTTTCATCTCACAGAGGTAGCATGCATGCACTAAGTATCTCCCATCTGTGCATTCATGAGACACAGATAAACAAACAAAACATCCGCTACCAAACACACACATGGGCTCACTCAGTGCTCGGGAGCAGACGGCGTATACAATATATTTGCACAAGGCAGTTCGCTTGCTCTCTAAGAGAAGGTAATGCACACACACACGCACACACACACAGTTGTGTTTCCGTCACATGACCTTAGCTAACATTCATTTCCTGGAGACTGACCCTAACCGTAACTACTACTTGCCTAATCCTACTTCTAACCTTAACCTTAAAGATATCATTTGTAACATTTCCATATGAAATCAGTTATGATTTTGAATAATCCCAATTATTTTCAATAAACCACAAACCGAGAGAATTTGTTTTCCCATCAGGTTAACAGTACATTTTATGGGGTTGCCTGTTGACTTTTTATCCGCTTCAAGCAACACTTTTACAATACTATGATGTTAAAAAAAAAGAAGGATAGCTTTCGCAGCAAAGAGTCGGATTCAACCCTGGGTGGCTGCAAAAATGACTCAACCTTTGTACACAGGCAACCCACTCTACCAGGTGACTTACTGGGTTGCGCTTTAACAGTATATTTTAATCAGATAACTGATTTTTTCATCGAACGTCTAGATCTTAAGTCAGCACAAAAACAAGCTACTGCTAGCACAACTAAACAGTACCTTCAACGTTGTTTTGTTTTTTTAAAGATACTGCTTTAATAAGTGATTTATCGGTTATACTTACCAGGTCCATTTGTTTTGGGGAGGAGGAGACCTCTGAGGACAACGGTTTCTGGTGCAAATTCTCTGAGCAATATACAAAGAAAGAATATTTAGTCTGGGAAGGTGACCAAAGAAGACAACAATTCCCATGATCCCACGCTACGTCACAAGTTCCAAAACAATATCCCCCTATTGGAAGAAAATGACATAATGTGCGATTATTCTAAACCTAACTTTAAACTCTTCACCATAAAATGCATGGATTGAGGTTACATGGACTTGCTTTTTGTCCATGAAATAAATGCAAGTCGCCGCCATGTGAGGGACTAAATTGTCCCCACAACATACATACACGTGCACACAGTGTTTAGAGCTGACAATTTTACTTCTCAGGGTTTCTCTGGGTGTTGACCCAGCATCCACTCCATGATTGACATCTCCTATCTTCGTCAGCATGCCGTCCAGATATTGGTCCTTCTATTGGACATTGATATGCTTGTAGGCGTCATTGTGTGTGTGTGTGTGTGTGTGTGTGTGTGTGTGTGTGTGTGTGTGTGTGTGTGTGTGTGTGTGTGTGTGTGTGTGTGTGTGTGTGTGTGTGTGTGTGTGTGTGTGTGTGTGTGTGTGTGTGTGTGTGTGTGTGTGTGTGTGTGTGTGTGTGTGTGTGTGTCCTCATCTTCCCAGCAGCAAAGAAAGGAGGCAGGCAGCTTTAGTCTGCGATGGCCATATTTAGGCAGGACTTTCATGACTTCCCAGTTACTTGGTTGCTCCCACTCTCTGGTGTGTGTGTGTGTGTGTGTGTGTGTGTGTGTGTGTGTGTGTGTGTGTGTGTGTGTGTGTGTGTGTGTGTGTGTGTGTGTGTGTGTGTGTGTGTGTGTGTGTGTGTGTGTGTGTGTGTGTGTGTGTGCGCGTGCGTGTGTGTGTGTGTGTTACCTTCTCTTAGAGAGCAAGTGAACTGCCTTGTGCAAATATATTGTATACGCCGTCTGCTCCCGAGCGCTGAGTGAGCCCATGTGTGTGTTTGGTTTTGTTTGTATTTAAACGCTGCCCAGTTTACATTTTAACATAATTCAGCTGAACTCACAGTTAAGTCATTTGTCACTCACACATGCTACTGATGGGATTAATTAGTTATCTTCTTTCTCTCCCTCCCTTATCATCCCTTCTTCATCTTTTTATTGACATCCCTTTTCCTCTCCTCATCTCTTCATCCCTCTCACTCGTTGTCCTCCTCCCTCCTCCTCCTTTTCCATCTCCTCCTCCAGGGGAGTTGTTCATGGTGGATGGTCGGCTAAAAGAGGCCCAGTTCTGCATAGCTGAGGCCAGCGCGCTATTCCCAAGCTCGTACTCGGTGATGCTGCAGCGGGGTCGCCTAGCCGAGCTCCGGGGCCAACTGGAAGAAGCCAAAGGCTGGTATGACGAGGCCCTGGCCCTCCATCCCACAGGAGAACGCATACTTGTGCACATGGTGAGAAACGGTGAAAGCTTCAGTCGGCTAAATTAGACACATTCTGCTCAGTTGTCTGTATGCTCATGTAAACACACACACTACATGCATGGATCCATTTATACATTTGTATGCCTCTACATGAGTCTATTGAATTACAGTTGATGTAAGATGCAGGCCGAACATGTGCATTCAATCTTTAACTTGAGTACATTGAATTAGATTACACTGCAAAAACGTCAAAGCCAAGTGAGGCTCACACTTAGTTCTGTGACGCAAACTAGTATAAATGTTCTTTAATCCGCAAAATTAAACAGTACACACACAAATGCAGTCAATTGTTAAGAAGATGTAGATATCAACTAGTTAATAACCGGCATTTCAATTGTAGACATTGTAAAGTTTTTGCATTAAAATATCTAATAATTTTCAAACTAGAAGAAATCTGTAATTGTATTCAATGAAATGGCCTGTTTCATTTGGTTTCCCGTAATAGCGAAGTAAACCCTTTGCGTATGCGTCACCATTGTAGATCTCTGACAGAAGCTATACCAAATGTACTTTACTTTTTGTCCAGTTTTAAATCTACATTTTACGCTTCTCAGATCTTGGTAATTTGAAAAGGGTTATTAGAAAAAAGGCGTAGCAAACATTAGCGGACAGCTAGCAGCTCCTCCATAGTATGTTTACCGAACTCCGTACTAAATAAGTCTGACATTTAACTTGTTTGTTTCAATGAAAATAATTGACCAAGGTTTTCCAAAGGACAAAATGCTGTCTGTCTTTCAGTCAAGATTTTCACTACGAAGTCATGTTAATACACTGTTGCCCATAAAGTTGGAATAAAAGTTTTTTTACCTCTTCTCAGATAAATTGTATATCTTCTCAAAAATATATTGATCAATCTCTTCCAAACATATCACAGTGAAAATGAAATGGGAATAAATAGAGGAATGTGTATAACGGTGTATAAAAGTGACAATAATGTCAACGTTTTTCTTCTATTAACTAGATATACTATTAGTCGTAGATCAAATAAGTACATACAGTATTGTATAGCATTTAGCTGACGCTTTAATCCAAAGCGATTTACAATTAGTGCTATAAACCATCAATATTCAAACTAAGCACAACACAAGAGAATATACTGTAAGCCATTACAGGAAGCATCCTGTTGAAAGTAAATAGTTTTACTTAACACTTTACATGCATACATTGGTGCCTTACAAAAGTCATGGCCAGAATGGATCAAACTGCATCATCTGCAATCAAATGCAGAATCTCTTCATGGAGATAATAAAAGGCTTTAAAGTATGTCACCCTCAACCTGACTGTATAATACTAATCTACCCTATAATACGTTTTTATTGGCAGAAACTTAAGGTTAGCTGATCAAATGTGCGTCTTTGTTTTTGTAATTCAAAATATTAGGCTTGCTTGTTATTAGCCGCTATTAATATGAGCTCTTAAGGCGACAGTAATGATTGCACAGAATCATTGCTCTGTTCCTCCCCTGTGCAGGGCCGAGCTGTGTCAGGATTGTGTTCATTCTTGTCTTAATTATCATATTATGGGCTAGTCTCAGATTGGTGGTTGGCCATTTTTTAGGAAATAGAAACAAACAAAGATTTGGTCCATAACCGGCACATGGCAAACTGCTTAATGACTCTCTTTCTCTCTCCCGATCACTTCCCCCACATTTCTTTCATCGGAGCAGATCCTCTCTATTATTTCCGCACTAGAAGATCCTCTCTCACCCACTCCCACCCACTCCCTCGTCCAGTCTGTCTTGCCGATGATCGTCTGGATTAACCTCAGCTGATCTGACCTTTGAACTCTCTGTTGTCATGGTGAACCGATCAGGGAGGGTTATTCCCCTAAATCCGAGACTCACCGCCCGACACACAATATCTGTTGTTGCCATAGTGACCATAGATGTGCCAATTGATATATATTTTCGACTTAGGTGCTAGCCACCTTGTGACCACATAAGGCTAATGCTTTTGCTCCTACTGTGCACTTTAGTGTGTGTGTATTTGCAGTCCCATTGGGGTAAACAGAGGTACGCTCCTCTTCCATATTTGGCCTGTGGGAGGAGAACCAATCCCTGGGGGTGTAAAGTTGAAACAAAGCCAGCTGGCAGTGTCCTACTCTGGGTCTCTTACAGGGCAGATGTGTTCTCTGAAAAGTGTGAGTGTGTGTTTGCGCGCATGTGTTTGTGTCTTTCTCCATGGATTTGGCGCACATGTGGACTGTTTTGGACTTTTTTTTGTATGCATGTTCTTGGATTAAGGCACGTTGTAGTACGCAGAAATAAAAACGCTGCTATCTAGATATATTGTGGATTATGTATTACACACTTATAGGCCAGTGTGCTAAATACATACATTTTTGCTTTGTGTTGGACCCTAAGTGGGGAAGTGTGTGGGACATTTTATGTGTAGCACTACCCATCGTTCTGGCTTGCATCAGAATAAAGCCTTTACATGCTGCTACATACTCTGCAGCTCTGGATTCATGCATTTATTTTTACACTGTATCTGCTGTGGACACTTTGTGCCGGTGGCCCATTTATCCTGCTGTGCCTTGAGGGGAAATCTGATGATGTTCTTAGTTGATATTCTTACACTTGAGCTATTATTCTGCAAAAGTACACACTGTTCTTTCCTTGAATGTCCTCGAGATATGTTTTTGAGTTATTAGGGATACACATAAAAGAAGATGTACTGCTACTGTGGCTCCACAATGGGATGCTTCTGATTTCTTTGTGGGATGTTTTAAATGGAGATGAAGGGCCTTTGCAGGAAGCGATACAAAAACAAACATATTTTTATTTTTGTAAGTAGCCATTGATTTCTCAGATTCACCAATACATTCATTTTTTTGCTCTTCTTTTGCAAAGAGAACATTTCAGTCATGAGCAATCCTACCAAGAAAACAAAAAACATCTAATTTCACAGTCCACAAATTGTGTTTTCCAAAAACATGAAAGCATAACTTTAAAAGAGAGGAACATTAAAACTGGTTGAATGTCATGAATTAAATTTGAGATCATTATATGTTTTACCTATAAATATTGGATCCTTAAATGTATGATCCTTTGAACAAACCTCTTGGATGATAATGCATGTTTTCAACTTTTTAGTTTTCCTTCAACACCAGTACTGACACACTGGAAAATCATGTTTACTCTAAGTTTATTTAACCTCCATTTCACTAATGCTGAAGTTCTTTCTTGTGGCATCTCTCCAACCACTGGGCATTTTTGCACAACGCAAACACATCCACTTATAAAGTGTTACGGTGTTGTTACCTATTATTGTATTGCGTTAAGCTAGATTCCCTAAACTATTATCTTATTTTAGCCTATCATAAAGACTGGAACATGTGGAAAACAGCTCACATCTGATTGTTTTAGTTACATAATGTTAGCAATTCTTGGCAAACATCAACAAGGAACAGTGACTTCTCCTTTGATTGGTACTTGGCAGCAACCAATGCTAAAGCAAACTGAACAGAAGCTCTTGTTAGATGACGTTTGCAAAAAAATAGAAACAGATCTCCCAACAAAACCACTCCTTTTGTTCCAAAAATGTTTCTACATCTGTAGACTTATTAAATAAACAAGATTAAATGTCAATTTCAGATATTTTCCGGTTCTTCCATTCCTAATACCAGGCTAATCTGCTAGCTTTATCTGCTATATTTCAATATGGCAGAAACATTTCTGGCCCTTCCTTAACCACATTTCTCATAGTTTTAAGATAACTTTCAATGACATTTACAATAATGTATTCTAATTAAAGCAAAGCAGGCAATAAAGCAAAGGATTTTCTTATAGGTTCAAGACAGCGTTGCGTGGCTTCAACTCAACTAACCAGAGTGGAGTGAAATTGTAATTGTATCCACAGCAGAGGAGGAGAGGGAAATGTGAGTAAGGGAAACCCATAACTGTAAGCCTTACTGAAGCCCAGCAGCCCCTGCGCTGTGGTTCATAATAACCAACAAGTCCTCCAACTCATACGACCAAATAGGTTGATTGTTCAAGCCCTTATTACGACCAAATAGGTTGATTGTTCAAGCGCTTATTACGACCTATAATCATGTTTTAAAGTGTTCGACCTCTAGTGCTCCCGTTGAATGCAAATGCTACGGAGGGTCGTATATTCGCAAATAACCCTCTCTGGAAAATCCTAAATTGTAGGATAGTTTGGCCTTTAAAATGCTTTTTGATTAGATTTCTAGCGAGAAGTGTATATTGTACTTTTAGAATCCACGTCCAGTGGATGTGTAGGATCTATAGTTTGATAGATATTACGAAGATGATTTGAGCTCTCTTCAGGAGAACGTGTAACGGCAGCGTCCATGTAAAGTTAGCGTCAACCCTCACGGGGTGAAAACAGTATTTCCGGTCTCAAAGTTTTCAGAATAAAACCGTATTCCCCTCACTGGCAAATTATTTTAAAGCGATATCTGCAGTACTCATCCACTAAAAACAGCAGTTTATCCTTGTTAATTACACAACATTAATTGGTTTAAATTGTGTACAATACTTTTGTGTTTTTCCCATAGGTTTTTCCCTTTCGATTCTGAGACACATTTCTTTTTTCAGAGGTTTTAAAACATCGAACTTGAAGCTTGATGATTGGGTGTTTTAGCCGCAATGCACGTTAGGATATGGTGTTTATGCAATATGAAATCCGAAAACATTTAAAAATATATATATATTTCAGTCAGACAACTCACGTGTTTCTTAATATGTTTATTATAAGCAGCATATAGTTTGAATTTGGCGTCTAGGCTCGGGCCTCATCACTCCACAGATTTACAAAGAACATTGAGTGATGATTAGATAACTATCCCCGAGCCTACAGTTGGAAGCTGGGGTGGTGGTGGGTCAGGCAAGCAGCAGCAACATGAAACACAGCAGCAGGAACATGAACTCAGCAATAGCAAGTGAACACAGCAGTGCAGCAGCAGCAGCATAGCGAGGCAGAGGCAGGAAGACCTGGCAGCTTAAA